TTGTATGTTTGTTCCTCTGGCAGTCCACATGGCTCAATACAAAATTAGTAGTAAATATTTTATTCCTTTTGCTTTCTTCTTGTACTGGCAGGCCAGTGATTATGCTCATGTTTTCCATGTTGCATGGAGATACATGATGAGAAAGGGCAGAGATTTAGGAGAATGGTTTAGAGGTATTATTCTCTAGTGTTTAAATGTGAAAAATATTTCCCTCTGAGAAAATGAGGAGAGAATCTTTGTGTCTCTGCCCAGGGAAAGGTGAGCTGATTGAGCAGCGGGACACTGCAGTCACTGAGAGCAGATAATAATCTTATTCTCAGTTTAGATCTGTCACTCAGCAAAAAAAAAAAAAAAAAGGCGGATTATCTATAATGCTACTGAAGGGAAACTTCCCTACAAAATGTTTTCCCACTCTCTGAATGCAGGGTTTTTGTCATTTTAATGAGTTGACACCTAGTCTTTCTTTTCACAGACGTTACTATTTAATGGCCCGGTTTCTAAAGTTGAAGTCCCTTTTGGGTACAGTGCCAGAACATTGAAAAGTTCAATATTACCTTTTAATAACATGTTTGAGTAGGTGAATCTATCGGTCCTGATTCTAAAGACATATATAGTACAGCGGAATGTATTCATATCCTGCCATCATTTAGTTCTTTGGCTTCTCCTTTTTGACTTTTTCCTATATAGGAAAATGTTTCTCGCTATGGTGATTGCTGCTCAGATCTTGAAGGCTTGCCAGTTCATCAAGCCAACATGCAAACATGAGGCAGCTGTGAACTCCTTGTTAGGGAGCTGCTAAGAGCAAAATCCCAGATATGTATCTGTGAAATAAAAGATCAAAAAAAGATTTTGTGGCCATTAAAAAAATAAATGCCTAGGTGTTCTTCAATGTTGCAAAGGAAAACAACAAACAAAATAACAGATTAATTCAGACAGTTTGCCACTCTTACAAGGCTTCATTATAGGAGATGCTAAAATGTTACAAAAATTGATTAGAAGGAAGAATGTGCACTATTCCTTTTCAAGGCCAGAAAAAAGTTTGAGGCCTCAGCAATTCCACATAGGGAAAAGCCAAAAAAGACAAAGGGTAGAAGAAGAAGAGGAGATGATATTGAGTATAACCCATTGGGGTGGATGGCAAGCTGGTTCAAGAAAAATCTCAGTGGATTCCCTACCTCACAAAAGCCTTGCTTTCTTTGCCTCTGTGACATATCTCACTTTACAATCAGGCTTTTTGCTAACATGGATCACAAGGGACCTCATGGTTTCCATCAGAAGTTCTATTGGTTCCCTTCTAAAAACACAAAATCCTTCATCTGCCAGTTATCTCACTGCCCTCATCACCCCAGACTTCGGCTATCTGTCCTTGCTGGGATTCTTATCTATGGGGTGGCCAACTTCACCCAGTCATTAATTTTTCTGGATAAAGATTTCACTGTGAAACTCCTCAGCATTTCCTATATTCCTTTAAGCTCCTGAGAACCTCTGGCCGCTATATCATTGCCAGTCTCTAACTCATGGTTTACTTCACTCAATTTTCTCTGTTCCTTTTCCTGGGTCTCAGAACTCTTACAGGAAGTTGTGGTTACGCAGCTAGGTTAATACAGATTCATGTTGGATCTTGCTGAGGAGTCTTTCTCTTATTCTCACTGATTTCTTCCTTCCATACTGCTCATAGCATTTACTCCAGATCTATTCCTTCTTCTTCATGATCTCATTTCTAAATAATTTCTGCAATCTATAGATGACCCATTTGTTAGTATATGGAGAAGCCTGGACTACATATATACATTCAACTTCCCGTCTTTTATCTCAAAGGAAGAAGGTTCTTCCCTTTATAAAGTAAACTCCATCTGAATTTGGATCACTTAATTCTTCTTTTCCAGGACTTCACTTTCATAATTACCCATAAGTACTCTTTCATTCTCTAGCATTTTCAACTGCACACCTTTCATGCCTTCCTTCCCTTTTACCGAGCAGCTTAAAATGTAAATTAAAGCCTTATAATTCCAGAACTCTGTAGGCGTGAGACAGGAGGATTTTAGTTCTAGTAGAAAGCCAGGCCTGAGCTATTAGAGCATGACTCTTGTCTCAAAAAAAACCCAACCAAACCAAAAAAAATTAAACAAGGCCCAAATAAAAACAACCAACAAAACCAAACATTAACTTAAACATATTATTTGGGCTGGGGATGTAGCTCAGGGTAGAGCTTCTTGCTTTGACATGCATAAAGCCGTGGTTGGATCACTAATAATAATAATAATAGTAATAATTACACCAAATACTTTGTATTTCCTTTGCTTATACCCAACTTCTTGACTTGAAGTCTTGTCCACTTCTTTTTTCTCTTTTTATAAGAATATGATTTTTGTTACCAGGGGATTCATTGTGACAAGGTTTCGAATAGCTTACATGGCACTTAGTTTAGATCGCCTCTACCATTTTACCCACTGCACCCCTTCTCTGCTTC